GCTTATAAAATTTGATAAAAGGTAATGTAGTATCTGGTGTGTAGTTTCTCCTGCAAGGATGTGCGTCTTAAGACATCAGTGAATGTCATCCAACTTTGGCCTCTATCCCAAAATAGACTGCAGTGTCTATCTCTCCTAGATCTCATTAGAACCCTAGATGGGATTTGAAATCAGGTAGCTCTATTGTGGCGACACAGATGCAAAGGCCGGTGAGTCAGAACAAATCTGATTAAGTGAAATTCATAGTTGGATTGCCAATGAAGCATATGCCTACTTCTAATTACGATAGTCGATTTTACCTATTCGGGACGGATATTTTTAACCGCCATAAATTCTAGTCATCTCAAATGCTGACCGATGAACCTATACGGGATGGAAACTGCAGGTTGGCTGAAAAGGATTCGTGACAGTTCTTGTTAAAGAACTACTAATATTCTCTATATAAAAGCAATAAGCTTCTACAATATTATCACCATACAAAACTACCCACCCCTATTCAGAGAAAACTATGTTAATACAACTGCTACTTACCGCAATAATTGCAAAAATAATTTGCTCATTTGGCACAAGAGCAAAGCAACGTAGAATAAATTGTATGAATCAAGAATTAGTCAACTAATATAAATGCATTTCAATTTTTTATGTGATAGATTAAATAGATAGAAAAATAGTAAATGTGCCACAAGTCACATTGACTATTGGTTTAACGTAAAACAAGGATGTGATTTTTTAAAACAGGATCATAAAAATGAATGGTTAGTGCTACCAATTTCGAGGAGGATGTCTATATAGTCCCTGCCCGTGATAAGGTCGTCCGAAATTAGGACAAAAACTGCTATCATTATTGAACCAACCGCTACTGGAATCTGCACTTGAATAACTTCTCTGAAAGCCACCAGAATGATTTTGGTAAAAGTCCCCACGACCTCTTTGTGTAAAATAGGGCGGCCTTTGATATGATCCGCGATTAGCTTCGTCAAAATATCCATGGCCAAAATTGCGCTCTGGGTGATTAGCATATCGCTGGAAACCTGTATAATCAGAAGGACCATAGTCAACATGCCGCCGTGTTCTGCCCGTGAGTAAAGGTGTTGACGGATCAGATGCAAAACGCTTTTCTGGAGGACCTGAATAATCAAGTTCGGAGCCACCAGTGTCAGGTAACAGAGTAGATTTCATACACAGTCGAGTCACAAGATTGATAAGTTGGTGATCTTGAGAATCAGTATCCTCAAGATTGTCAGGACGGAGGCAAATCCTGACTAATAGGGCCTCGAGGGCCGGTCTTAACGCAAAGATTCGAGCCGCAGAAGAAAATTTTGTACGAAGGGGAATCCAGTCATCCATAGTGATTGTGCCTAAATCACTACTTGAAGAGTCTGGTCGCCAAACAGCCTGGCGACATCCAAAGAGCATTAGCATAAGTGGACTGATCATGGTCAAAGATTTGCAAGATATTGCCTGGGTTCGAATCTAAAATTCAAATTTACGAGTAAAGGGAGTAAGCGACTAGTACCGATCATTTAATAAAATTATAACAATCAGAAGCAATACGTGAGTGTATAGGACTAGGTAACTAAAATTTATTATGCTAGAAATATAAAATAATATTTAGAGCAAATACGTACAATTAATCAAATCCGAATATCTTGTGATTCTTTCTAAAAAAGCGCAAGTCGATTAATTAATGTACTTTAGGCAGTCATATAACTATTTAATATCGCAATATCTAATCTTCAGCCATGGCTACTAGAGGATGCAATAGACTACCTTGTCATTTATGGGTGAGCCTTTTGGTACTACCACCTTAAGGTACGATCAGAAATAAAATTACTC